GGTTGAGCATGTACTCCTTAGTTGTAGGAAGTATGTAAGTCACAGGAGGGTGATGTGGGGTGAAATGAGTGGTGGAAGGGAACTTACATTTGAGCAAGTGGTTAATAAGTTAAGTCATGGTGGAGGGAAAGTGGTGGTTTTTCTTTTTTTGAGAAGTACTGGTCTCATCAAGAGGATCTGAGGATTCAGGAGTGATGGACGATTAACAGCCAGGAGATGGCAGTGATGCAACAGTTTTGGATCCAAGCTGCCGTTAAACTTGACTGAAGAAGAAGAAGAACCGCATGGTTTGCTTCACGGTCACCTTGGAAAGGTAAGAGTGAATCTGTCTTCATCCATCCAGATGAAAATACTTTTTGCGCAAAGATATCATTAGTTTGTCTATTATTTTCAGGGATATTTATTCACATTTGTTTTTTGTTTGTTTTTTTAAATCTGTCTGTTTATGCCATTCTAGCTAGCTAACACGTTAGTGCAACAATATAGCACAATGTCAAGCTAGCACAAGTATAAAAGCCTAATATGAAAGACATAGCTACTTCAAATGTAGGTATTGTTTATAACTTAACCTCTGCAAATAAGCTAGTTGGGCTCTACCACAGAAACTTTTGTGATACAAATGCATTTTATTTATGGGTTGTTGAAATGTGTAAGTTTGTAAGTTGTAACTGTTGCACAGTAGTTTACTTAACAATTGATGTATGTTTTTAGTACACTGAGGAGGAAATTACAATTATTTATTTTAATTCCTGAAGCGAATGTTATGCTTTAATAATTTTACTTCTGAGAGAATTCCAGTTTAAATTTGGTTACATAATGTAAATAATTCATTTTGAAATTCTTCACTCCTGTTCAACATGGTAAAATGTTGAACTCACTGAAAAGGAAAGAGTCCAAATTACAGGAATTAACTCGTTTTTTTTATGACAGGCAGTCTAATAAATCTAAAATGTTTTGAAAATTAATGTGGCATTATTTTATTTGAATCCATTTGAATGGACATAGCATGCCACACTTTTATCCGAATTGCTTTGTTGAAATCAGATTTACCGTTGTTGAAATGGTTAACGTTGTCTTAACTTCCTCTTTTAGGCTGTTGTGAAATGGCTGCAATGGTGAAACTCATTCTCGGAGAAAATGATTCCCGGAGATTGATCCTTCCAAATGGGATGCCAGTGTCTGTCAGTGAGCTAGTTCAGCAGATAAAGGGACAGTGTGGAGTTAATGGGGACTTCAGGCTTCACTTCATGGATGCAGAATTTGGGAATGAATTCACCAACTTGGAGTCAATGTCGGACATCCAGGACAAAAGTACCATCGAGGTCATCTTTAGCTCAGTTGCACCTGTCGAACCTGGTGAGGCACTCCTCCCTCTTTACTCATCTGCTGCCACTTCCCGCACTCTAGATGACTCCTCATCCCTTTCATCTCCTGGGAACTCATTTGATACAGACATATTGTCTTCTCCTGAATCTACGTCCTCAAGAGCCACTGCAGGGCCCAATGTCTTCCCCATTCCCCAGTTCTCTTACAATACTCAACTACAAGCTGGCCAGGGCCAATGCTGCTTTCAAAGAAACTGAAGCTTTGTTGAATCCTGGTCATAAAATTAAGTCTGACAGGGAGTTTGATGAGGTAGCAGAAGCTCTTGTAACAACCTATCCATGTTTGAAAGAGCCTGGTTCAGTCACTGGATATGGCGGATGGAAAACAAGCTTGAAGTATAAACTTGCTAACTACCGAACAAAGCTTAGACAGCTTGGATGCCCTGAAGTTACTGTGAATTCTGTAAAACATAAACCTGATGGCAAATGTACTCCTGCATATGGCGTGAAGAAACCAAAAAAAAGCTGAAGTGAATTACTGCCCCACGTATCCAGCTGGTGAAACTGCAGAGACACTAGAAGAAATCAGAGTAGACCTCCTGTCAGAAGCTAAGAAAAAACACAATGACCACAGGGTGGCTGCAATGATGGAGAAGACCTTTGCTCTCAGAAGGCAAGAGGTAGTACTTGAAGCACTGATGATCGCTGATTTCAAAATGAGGTGGCCAGCTGTCTTCCAGTGCATCTATAATAAATATATGCAAGTTTCAGTGCTTCGTTTAAACTGTATGATACTTATACTGACCCAGGGTCGGTGTAAAATACAATCCTAGCTGTGTGAACAAAGTCTGGCTCCTTTAATCCTGAATGACAAGCCGCAGGATGCAGGTTGTTATTACTCTTTCCTGCTGGCACACCTGTCACACCTGAGAGTCAGCTAGAAACTTACAGTGACGTGGACATCATGCAAAGACTGCCAGACTCTGTAATACTGTAAATGATCAGTGACTCAGGTTAACACTAAACTTTAAACAGTCCCTCTGTGTCTCTCTGTGTGCTGAACATTTAGGATTTCATTCAGGCTGCATTGACTGTGGGACTTTTCTGTGTTAAAAGCAGGTTGAAGACAGCTCAGAAACATTTGAAGATTAAAATTCTCTACTCAGATGTATTTTTGTTTCTAATTTATGTTTGTTGTTGTTTAACACAGATTTCCGAAGAGCAAAGATGAGCACTGTTGCTCAATCCTTAATAGTTTAAACCAGGACTGGACTGGAAATCCAAAGTCCAGATTCTTCTTCCACAGAAGTTTCATTTGTCAGTGTTGGACTGCTGATCACCTGAAGAACTCATTTCATTCATTCTCCCCATAATGTTGATTTACAGAAATGTTTCACAGGAACTGATTCCTCCCAAAGGGTGAACTAGTGTGTTTCCATAGACTATCTCTGTATGAATGTACTTCTTAAATGAAGGCAAGTGTTTGTCCTGTTTTGTTCAGTACGGGATATTAAGGGTCATCACTGGGGGAAGACAAGAAGCAGACGTACTTCCAAGAGGGAGCTGCAGTGAGGACACAGCCTGGTCACTGAGGTCAGAGGTCAGAACCTGAAACAGTTTATATTCTAGGTGTTATAAAAAAAATCTAAATATATTTTTAAAGAAACCTTTAAATTATATTTTAAATCATAATTATGATTATGATTATAAATATCAGACATTTAAGTGGATTTTCTGTTACATGTATTGTTTTCGCCCTGCGATAAACTGGCAGCCTCTCCTGTCTTTGTCCTGTATGAGCTGGGTATGAGTTCAGTAAAGAAACCTTACAAAAGTTAACAATAAACCTGCATCCCTGTACGTTGTTGTCCACAGGATGAGAAAATCAAACTGGAACACTGTGGAACATGTTAATAAATGTTTGTGTTTTTCCCTGTGTCTTTCACAGGAGGCGCTGGAAGGTTTCCTAATAGTTCCTGGTGAAGCAAAGCAGAACCATAAAGGTTGCTGGACTGCATTATGGCCTTACCCCTGAGTAGGGATGGGTATTGATAAGATTTTCACGATTCCGATTCCATTTTCGATTCTGTTTAACGATTCGATTCTTTATCGATTCTCTAATCGATTCTTTTAAAAAAAGGAGAACACTAAGGTCGATTAGCTTAGAACTTTGTTTTATATCTTCTCTTTGAACAAGATAGAAATTTAGGAGTAACATGGCCTTACAAACCCAACATTGAGATCTTAAGAGATCCAGCCTACGGCTCTTCAATGGGGTGTCACAGGGTCCCCAGGAAAAAACATTGTAAATGTAAAATAATAAAATAAATATTCTTCTGTAGCAATAACAAAGTGTAACATAAATTATTCTGTAGTAATTACACAAGAATATCCAGTAATGTCCCTGCCTACAATTAAACACATTCACTTACCTAAAATTGGGGGCATCTGCTGTGGCAAATGGGTTCAAGCCAGTGTTGCCAACTTAGCGACTTTGTCGCTATATTTAGCGAGTTTTCAGACCCCTTAGTGACTTTTTTTTAGAAAAAAAGTCGCTAAAAAAAGGACGTGAAAGCGCGTATCGATTTTACTCTCAACAAGCAGCGGGTGCTGTAACGCAGTCAGTTCTTCTTTTACTCTTTTACTCTTATGCTGTTTTGTGGATCACAAGGTTTAAAACTACTTATAAAACACACACACAAAGTAACTCCACCAGAGTGCCTATTTCAGGTCACTTTTGCCGGTCCAAGCCCGGGTAAAGGAGCAGGGT